AATATTTATTAATATAATATTATTTATGAATGTATTGTAATATTATTTATGAATATATTATATTTATAGTATATTACTTATTCATATAGTATATTTGTTAATATATTATAATATAATATTATTTATTATATAATATATTAATAATATATTATTTATTTATATATTATAATATAATATTATTTTTTATTAATATAATATTATTTATAAGTAAAATTATGCACAAAAATATTGATGAATAATTCTATATATAAATAACTTTTTTTCGAGAAATATCTTTCCCTTTTTAAATCAAAAAGACAAAAAGATAATTTTCAGAAACATAACATTATTTTTCATTATCTAATAAATCATTTTTTGTTGATCAATTAGTTTTCTGTCAAATAAACACTTAAAAATACAAAAATCATTTTTTGAAAATCATTGAGCCTAAATTTTTTCTACATTGATTAGGGTCAATCAATATCGTTCATGGTGATTAGTTTAAAAAAATCACAAAAATGTGTTGAGGTCAAAATCTTTCGTAATTATGATCATAATGATGTTCAATCCAAAGACTTGGTGTTTTGTTTCTTCTGAGGGAAAAAAGCTGGAGGATCTTGCTCATGAATGGCCAAGACAAGCTATTGGGGATATCGCCTTAGCACTGTCCTGGTTGTTCCTTCTTGTATATTCATGGAGGGTTCAGAAGTATGATTAATTTGACCTGAAAAGAAAGAGAACTTGGGATTTGTTGACAGGAATTTGAACAAGAACTGATGCAAAACTGATTGTTCAGACAAATCAGATTTCTGGAATTTCAGCCCAAACTGAAAAAGTGAATCTTTAAGACTAAGAAAGTTGTCTTGGGAAAATTGGAGTGAAGGGATCCAAGATTGTCACCTGCTTGAATCTTGTTTAGGATCTTGAACATGCTTCAGTTCAAAGAAAAGTGAAAAGGAATGTGATATGACGCTGGCTTTTTTGCTTTACCCTGGCTTAATGTAATAAATTTCCATGTAATTTTTGCTTCAAAAGAACAAGAAATGTAAGCAGTTGCTGTACTTTGAGAACAAGCTTTCTTGTTGGTTGGCAGATAGAAACAATTGATTTCTTTTCGGACAAACGATACAATTTTCCAGAAATAGAGAAAAGATTGATATTTTTCATCCTTTTATTGATTGCTTTTAACTTGTTATGAATTCAGGAAGTTATATCCCTTTCCCTGCAGCTTTGAGGGACTTCTGAGTTCTAAGTGTTCTGCTTTTAACAGAAACGTGTCAGAAACAGTTGGGATACTCGTGTGCTGTCCCCGGATCATTTTTTTTTATTTTGTTATTTTTATTTATTACTTTTTTATCGTAAAATTTACCTAATTAAAAAAGAATAAAGGGTCAAAAAAATCAAATGAAAATGATACTTGAATATTCAATTGGTCTCGTTTTTCTTACAATTTTTATCTAATAAAAGAAAAACAATTTCTCTAAAAAGATCTCAATCTCAATTTAGAAAAGAAAATTTCCCTATGGATTAGAATGATAACAAACTATCGAATATGAATTATTTTAATAACTTTATTAATTAATATTTTTATTATAAAATTTATTTAATTAAAAATAAAAAATATGAAAGAAAAAAGAACCAAATAGGGTGACTTGGTGATGCTTTCATTGACTTCCTTTTTTGTTTTTTCATAAAATTAATTTAATTTAAAAAAACATAAAAAAAAATTAAAAAAAAAACAAATAACTTAACACGTGACATATTGTGACATATTATTGGTATCAAGTGAATCACAAAAATTTTTTTAAAAAATTTTAAAAATTTATTAAATATATAAAAAAAAACACATTACATGTTATTAGCATCAAGTAGGTCTCATGCCAAAAAATTTAAAATCTTTAAAAATATATTTACAAAAAATTTTAAAAAAGAAAAAAGAAGATTGGTATAAAGTGGATCCTATTTTAAAAATTTTTAAAAGAAATTATTAAATATAAATAAAAGTAAAAAAAAATAAAAAAGCAATAAAAATTTTTAAAAAGTAAAATGTTTTCATAAAATAAAAAAACCAAAACAAATTTATGGATGCCATTTGGCATTTAAGTTAAGTTCCGAGCAAAATTTATCTAATGTGAAGATTTAAAAAATGATAAAAAAGAAAAAATTTAGTAAAGTGGGTCCAACATTAAAAAAATTTAAATCTTTAAAAATATTTGTAAAATTTTAAAAAATCAATAAAAAAATTCTGGCCAAAAATTAGAAAATCTCAAAAAAGCAAAGAAAAAACAAAAAAAAATGGAGGAAGTGCTACGTGGGCAGTACATGATGAGGCACCTTTGCCGTACATGAGTATGATTTGTATTTTAGATAGCAAGAAAATAAGAAAAAGAAAAAATATGAGTTAAATGGCTAACACGTGACGTACTATTAATATCGAATGAATTTGAAAAATAAAATATAATTAGTATTTATTAAATTTATTAAAAATAATAAAAAAAAAAACATGTGACATGCCATTCATATCAATTGGAATTTCAAAAAAAAATATAAAAGTTCTTTGTTAATTATTTTTTTTAAAAAGGAAAAAGTGGAAAAGGCAAAAGAGAAAAAGCAAAAAAAAAAAAAAAAAGGTTTGATATAAGTGGATTTCACATATAAAAAGTAAAATATTTAAAAATAAATATTTTTATAATTTTAAATAATGTTATTAAATATTTTTTTAATTTAAAAGGGTAAAAAAAGTTAAAAACTTTTGGTATAAGTAGGTTTGGAGCATAAAAGTTAAATTTTAAATATATTTTTATAATTTTAAAAATTATTCATTAAATATTTTAAAAGAAAAAATAAAAAAAATAAAAATACATATGGCAACCCAAGGATAATGTATTAATAATAGTATATTAGCAAATTTTATATTTTAGATTAAATAAATAATAAAATTTATACTTTTATAAATATTATGGAGTGACTTGAGATAAAATATTTTAAATTCACTTTTGACTCGTATTCGCCTTTTTTTTTTAAAAAAAGAAATAGACTTGATTTGATTTAATATTGATTTTTACAAAACATATATATTGAATTGAGATGGAACAAAATCTATTAGATATTAAATTTTTTATCAAACAAAGATGTTATAGTTTAAAATTTTTTTGTTTTGTCATTTTTCTTCTCTATTTATTTTTTATAATTTATCTAATTTAAAAAAAAGGATGAGAAGTAAAAAAAAAAAAGCCCAAATAGGTATGACACGTGAATACCTATATTGATTACCTATTATCACAAAAAATATATAATTAAAAAATAAAAATCTAAAACAAAAGAAATTGCAAAGAGTAAAAATATTAATTTCTATAATTAAAATATTAAATAATAATTTTATTAATATAATGCACATATATAAAATTAAAATAATAATAAAATATATATTTCTATATATACATTGAAATAAGTTGAGACAAAATATTTTAAATATGCTTTTGTCTCAATATCGTATCTTATAAAAAATTCAATTTGTTCTAACTTGATTATGATTTGAAAAAATCATCCATATCAAATTGAAATAGATTGAAACATATTGAATATATTAAAAATTTAATCTGTTTTAACTTGATTATGATTTGAAAAAATCACCCATGCCAAGTTGAAATAGATTGAAACATATTGAATGCATATTGTTTTTGCATTTTTACAATCGACACATTTTCTTATCAAATTTATTTAATGAAAAGTATAAAAAAGATCGAAAAAGGAAAAAAGATAAATGGAACACTATGTGACATCTCCATTGTTCTAATTTTTATAGCAAAATTAATTTAATAAAAATACATAAAAAAGAGAAAAAAAAGAAGGAACTTTATAGGGGTATTGCATGAATATCTCAAATGAATTCAAAATATTAATTTTTTAAATTAAGGTATTAAATAATAGTTTGATTAATTAAAAAGTTTTAAAATGAAAAATAAAAAATAAGGTGTTACGCTTGTACATTTTTTTGTTTTTGTTTTTCAACAAAATTATCTTATTTATAGAAAAACAAATTAAAGAAAAGATGAGAGCACAAAAATAAAAGAAAGTTGAGTTATCATGCAATATTTGTAATGATAAATTTTTATAAAAAATTTATAAAATGGATTTTAAAAATAAAAAAACTAAAAAAAATCAAAATTGAGTGTGATATGATACCTAAATTAATATTTTTCTTTAAAAATATCAAATTAAAAAAACAAAAAAAAAATATATTTTAAGTAATCATATCAAATGAGTCTTATATTAAAGAAATTTTACAATATTTTTTAAAAAATTAAATTTTTTAAAAAAATAAAAGAAAATTTAAATAATAAAAAGATAAAAAAACGAAAAAAGGAACCTAATGATTTTAGCGTGTGGCATACCCGTAGTTCTTAAAAAATAAATTATAAAAAATAATTTATTAAACATATATAAAACGAAAAAAGATAGAAAAAATAAACATGTGATATGTCATTGGTATTAAGTGGATTTAAAAAAAAATTCAAAAGAAATCTTTATTAAACTTTTTTAAAAAGGTTAAAAATGATAAAAAAAAGGAAAGTAAAAAAAAATGTATAAATGGATCTCACGTATAAAAAATAAAATCTTAAAAAATATATATTTTATAATTTTTAAAAATATTATTAAATATTTTTTAGAAAAGAAAAAAGTAAAAAAATAAAAAATTGATATAACTCGATTCCACACAAAAAATAAAATCTTTAAAAAATATATTTTTTATAATTTAAAAAATACTTATTAATTATTTAAAAAAAGTTAAAAAGAGAAAGAAAAAATTAAAAAAAAATTTGGTTTAAGTGGATGTAATACACAAAAAAATTAAATCTTTAAACTTTAATTTTGGAAAGTAGTTGTTAAATATTAAAAAAAAAAGGTGAAATGTTGCATGGCAATTCGAAGGAAAAACTGTATACCGTACGATATCTTTAATTGTACCGATGAATGTAATAATTTTCAACCTTCATTAAAACTAAAAAGAATTAAAGGTTTGACCCGACCCGATTTCAACTTGGCCATCTCTAAAGTCTAGCCCATGTAAAAAAACCTTCTTTTTTTTTTGATCTCTTTCTTTGCTGGCTTCCTTAAAACCTCTAAAAACCACAACGCCTGCCGCCGGCTCTGAATCGCGTGAAATTCAAAGGTAAATTCTTCTTTCCATTATTTATTTATTTGTTATTCCTTTCTTTCTATTTGTTTCTTGATTCCTAGAAGCAAAAGCTTAAGCGAACATAGGAAACAAAAGAAGAAGAAGAAAAATGGAGTCTCTTCGAGGAAAAAACTTGTAGCGATAAAGATTCGAACTGTTATCGTTGCCAAGTGTGAATTTGATTGATTCATGATTTTTTCTATTTGGGTTTTTCTTGTCCTGTTGAATTGTGGCTGCTTTTTCTTTTCCTGATGAAAATGGGCTATGTTTTTGGACTAAACTGTAGGGAGAATCAGAAGTGGTGGAACTTCTCTTAAATTTATTTTCTTTTCTGGGTTTTATTTTAATGTTTCTCTGTGGTGGAAAGCTAAAGGGTAAAGACATTAAATGGTGAAAAGTAAATTTGTTGTTGAGTTTTTTTTTTTTTTGTTGAGAATAAAATGGCAATGGGACTGATTGTCGATATCTTTGGCCTTTATTTTGGAGATTGGATGTTGGGAAAAAAGATTCAGCTTTACGTGAAGATGAAATGATATATAATCCTATCACTTGATAAAGCTGTTTTTGAAATGTTTAGATACAAAGAGGAAAACTTGCATTTAGTTTCAAATACTCCTAGCTTTGTACTTTTAAATTGCTTAAGGAATAATTTTGTGGCTTCAAGAAGAATTTTTCTAGTTTGTTTGAGGTGGTCCTTTTAACTATCTAGTTCTATTTATCAAATTGAATATTGATTTGCTTTGGCACTGTTACTTGCTGAACATTTATGTTAATAGTATTAGTGTTTGGTAAAATTGTTTGATTGACTCTTATGCAACCTAGTGGTCATCAGATCCATGGCTTCAGAGAATTGGTTTCAGGTTCTTATATTTTGCTTTCAACATTTAATGAATCCAAACTTATGTTTTAAGTCTTTGTGATGTTATTATTTGTTTTTCTGAAGTTTATTTGACGTGTGGAAGATAGATATGATTGTATTTTGGTGACCTTTACCTGAAATTGTTCTGTTTATCTTCTTTAGTTTTATCATTGTTCATGTTAGTCTTGTACTTGAGATATTCTTTCTGAATTTTTTTAAGATTGTTAGAGAAGCATAATTTGTTGAATAGACCCGTATGTTGGTAAAATGGTGTTTCCATTTTAAACATTTCAAGCTCTTTTTTCCTATTTTCTTTTGAGTTATAATACACAAGTACCGACGTTCTCTTCACTTGGCCAGCTATTTTCAGTAGGTTTTTCCATAAACCTGTGATTTCTAATCATACTAGATAGACTATTGTTGTGGTTGTTGTGCATTTGCTTTCACAATATTGAGTAATTGAATGGTGTAAAATGTAAATGTGCTGATAGTGGTACTGTAATGGTCAAAAAGGTAAAGTAATAGACGTTAGCTGCTGTTTGTTGTTGTAACATGATTCCTGTTATTATGGCCTATGTTGATTTTCTTTGTCTTTATGATGAAATTTCTGCATTTTGCTTAAAGAGCATAAGTTCTGATTCTGTTTTCGCTGATGTGTTTTCTGGCATCTCTTCTCATGTCTCTCTCACATTATCTTAGATTCACATACTACCTGAGAGAATGGGTGGGTTGCCCGTGCAAAATACTTCTGCCTTAGCTTTGCCTGGCTTGCAGCAAAATCATGGGTCAGCAAAAACAACTTCTGGTGCAGAATCAAAGCCAAAGAAGAAAATTTGCTGTGCTTGCCCTGACACAAAAAAACTCAGAGATGAATGCATCGTGGAGCATGGTGAAGAAGCTTGTGCAAAATGGATAGAGGCTCATCGTATGTGCCTTCGCGCAGAGGGCTTCAATGTTTGAGATTGGTGGAAAATTTTATAGAATGAAAACACTTTGAGGCACAAACTATTTACCAGGGATTACACAGAAAATGATTTGAAAAATCTAGGAATAAATAAAAGACAAATTTTCTTGGCAATTGGTGTTGGATTCATCCCAACTGTCCATTTTCTTGTATTCTTCTTTTATGAGGTTACTTGGCTCTATAGAATGTATTGGAACTGTCAGAATACTTTCATGATTCAGGATATGGACAGAGTGGTCTCTCTCTTTTATTTCTTCTGTACTTGTGTAACTTGAACTAGTCAAAATTTTGACCAAAAACAATTGAGTGTACATTTCGTGGTAAGAATGGCAACTTGGTGACAATTTCATTGATAATGACAGCCAGCCAACGTGGGGAAGAGATACTTGTGGTTCTCGTTTTCTTTATATCTTTAATCTGGTCTGTATCCCTTTGTAGATTACATTGAGTCCGGTTGATCAGAGCACAGAAATGATGAAAATAGTTTTCAGGATTGAGCTATTTTCGTAACCCTTGGTTAACCGGTTATGATTCAAGAAAATGAATTCAAGTCCCAAAATATAATCAATCTGCAACTTTTTCTTTTAATTTTTTTATGAATAAGGCCATAGCCTAAGGACAAAAGAAGTGATTGTAAGTGCTGATATTCGAATTTTAAACTTATTGGATGTTGGTTAAACTTTGGATTCAATCAATTTGTACCTTTACCTTCTACAAGCCAGCCGGTGGGTTCAGCATTGGAGTGTTTAGTTTTTTCATCTTCTTGATTCTTGGAGTTCCTCACAATTCACAAGCTAATGGTGATAGAGAAGCTTCATGAACTATGGTTTGTCTTATATGTTGATTTTTAGGTCTACTGTTCTTATTATGTATTTCTCATATCAATAAGCAAGATTTATCGTTTTTCACTCTGCAACTGCTGCAACTTTAAAACCGATAAATGCCTTAAATTTTTTATCCAGTAAAAAGGAAATCACAATCTAGGAATAAGAAAAGGATTGTAAGTGTTGAGATTCGAACTTTAAATCTGTTAGACGTTAATTTTTTGATATATGAAACTTCAAGTTACTATCTTTTTGAAGCTTGAAAGGCAGCCTCATATGCTTATTTTGGAGTTTCATTGTTAAAAAAAAGATTATCAGAATCAAAATACAGAAAGGGTTATACTAATAGTAATTCTTCATTAACCAAACAAGGCCATAGACATGGCCATTACATCACAGTATATAAGGAGACACAAACATGACCGACAGACATTAAAACACACAGAAAACAACAACAACAACAACAAAAGACACAAATTATTCAACCCATATTATTCTTTAGATCCCAATATTGCCATGAACGAAAACATCATTGTTTTATGTTTGCTTAATGACCACATGTGCAGTTAGTGCAGCTGCAGCTAGCTCCGCACTTGCACTTGCCATCGTTCTCTGCTGTAGCCTCGACCACAACAGTGTCGATGTAGCTGCACAAACAACACAACAGCTCATAATTAGCATATCTATATGAAGTTTCTTTGCAGATATCAGAGTTTTTGAAGAGCAAAAGCATACCTCTTCTCAGTCTCAATGACCAAGGTGTTTCCCTTCTTCCTGTAGGCATAGAAAAAGCAGAAAAAAGACTTAGTTTCAATGATATTGATTACAAAAAGTTTCCGCAGGTTCAAGGTTCTACTTGAGGAACCATGGGAAGAAGTAAAAGATATTAGATGTTTTCGATCGAAAAGGTTTTGTTCAGCCTAAGAGTAACATGTTACCTGAAGCTAAACCGAAAATTAGCCTAGTTGGTTCATATAGTTACCGTTAAAAGAAAACATCCAATAATTGTGAGATTTAAATCTTAACATCTGCAGTTCCTTCTCCTACCTAGACTATGGTCTCTTTTGCACTAAAAAAAAACTCATTAAGATCATGAACATAACAACATGGTCTCAAACAAACACTACCCTAGAACGAGTACAGCTGAAAGTTTCTGATGGATTCATGTATAATCGATTACTTACGTGCACTGGCTCTTGTCAGAGCAGTCGCAGTCGCCGCACTTGTCAGACATGGTGGGTTTGGAACGTGAAGAACTGAAGGTTTTTTGAGTTTCTAAAGTTGTTAGCTTGCAATGGATTTCGCTATATCTCCAAGCTATGCACCATGATCACGTATTTATAGATGAGGAAGTAAACACGGTGCGAGCGTGGTGCCCACATAGGCATGAGAGAAGCACACGCCTCTTGAGGATGAGTCCGAAGGAATCTTGATAATGGAGGGGCCTTTGCTTGCTATCCTCCGCTCATGTCAATTTCATTTCTTTTTATATATAAGTATATATTTATATATATTAAAAAGAAAATGATATTATCTTTCTCATTTTAATATTCTCTAGGAGAATTTCTTTTCAAGATTGATATGAAATTTCTTAGATGCTTGAAACATATGATTCGATCAATTAAAGTTGGAAAAATTTTATAAAAAAAAAATTTTCAACCATTAAAGTTTAAAATTTAATTTTAAACTTTTGAATTCTCAATTAAACAAAATAAAATTTATATAATTAGAAAATATTATCTTCTTATTATATAATTTTATATTACATGTATAAAAAAAATTTTAAAAAACTCAAAGTTAGAACAAAATTCAAATGATCAAAGGGTTTTATAGTTTGTGAAAGAGAATTGATTTTTGAGCATAGACATTAATAGCACCTTATCTTGGCCATAATAAATATAGTTTAATAAATTTTACTTTTTCAAAGTATTTTTAGTTTTATATCTAAATGCTCTTAGGCATAAATGCCTTCAATGTTAACCATTCAAATGTTAAGCATCTCCCTTTGAAAGATTGATGGAGAATTTCTCTAATTTGGTTCATATACTTAAAAAAATATAAATTCCTTTATTTTTGACTGATCGAAAGCTTGGTGAAATCAATTAGAAAAGGTACATAAAGTTGACTTAAAATTAATTAATTTTACATTAAATTGAAAACTCAACTAAATCTGAATATATAAAATTATTATTTCATACATACATACATGGACTCCAAATTAAAAAATTGGCTTTTTTTATTTAATAATTAATTAATTTTTAAAATGTTCTTTAATAAGGCATTTGTTAATTTTATTTATAAAGTTTAAAAATTCTATTCCCCATTTAGTTTGGTATCTTATGTTATTTAATTGAATTTTATGGTTAATAACCTAACAATATATCATGTTTTTCCCCATAAGAAAGATTAGCTCATGTTTTTTTCCCTAATGAGAGAAGCTTAATTTGTAGGGAGTTTATTCCTACTTGTTGCAAAAATAAAACGAAGAAAATGTGATGAAAATCAATGATGAAAGAAATAGCTAGAATGAAAAGTCCAATTGCTCTTTATATTTTTCTTTTGAAGTGGATTGCTAATATTTGCAAACAAAAGCCTTCTTGGTGGTTGTGGACTTTATAATTTTCATATAGCAATTGCTTCTTCCATTAGCCAACTTTACTTTGAAATCTCTTTTGTCCTCAAACAAGCATAGCCTCACATGCATGTTTTCAAGCTTTTTATCCACAAGTAGCATATGGAAAATCATGGTTGTCCTCCTCATTATTACTTTTTTTTTTTTAATTTCTCCACCTTACATGTCTATATCAATTGTTTTGTAGGATTGTATAAAAAATCAAACCCATTTTGACAATTTGATGAATAAAATATTGGTTTGCAATCTATATTTATGTTTTCTATCAAAAATAAAAGTCTATCTATGTATACACCGACACACAAATGTTTTAAATTTTTTTTAAAAAATCAATTATCAAACCAAATAACTATATTATGTTTTTGAAAAAAAAATCAATAATCATGTAATTTGTTGATATAGTATAGTATTGAAATTTTAATTCAAGTGATCAAAGATCAATATTTGACAATTGAGTATAAAAAAAGATTAGATTAGTATACATAAAATTGAAAAGTAATTAAATCAATTATGAAAACAAAGTGAAATTTACTTTAAACTATATATGAAATGTAAAAAATTTATCAAATTAGGTTTCTGGTACAAATAAGTAACCCATCGAGAAAATAGGCAATGGTATGATGGCTATGGTAAAGGAAAACTTCCCAACAACTAAGTGGTTTTGAGGGTTCACTTTCCTTCACCCTTTGAAAGGTAACTTGCACACTAAAACATATATTTTATGACTATGATTGGTCTTTAATAAATGGAAGAAGAACACACCACAAAACCAAAAGACCAAACTAGCTCATGTTGATATGATTTTTAGAACTTTAGTATTGGTTTTAAACATAACTCTTGAGTTGTTTTCCTAAGTTTCTATTTTTTTTCTATTACATATAATTTTTCTTTTAAGTTTCGTTTTTTTTGGAAAGTAATTTTTTAATACAGAAGAAGCTGTAACATTAAGAAGAATAATTACTAAAATTTAAATCTTGAACATATTAAATGTCATATCAATAAAAAAAAACTAAATACCACCTTTAAAAGATATTTGCATGAATTAATTAAGATAAGCCCCAAATTCAAAATAATTTCATTTTCTAAAGAGATTAAGCTCCCTCACCTACTCTTCTCATACTTCTAATTATCTATTAGGCCATTCATAGTTGGTCAATTTTATTGGGCCAAAATCTGGTATTGGCTTTTCTTCTTGGAGAATTACACCCAAAAGATATTCACTCTAGGTTTATTATCTCCTCCATATGCCCAAAGATTGCCACAGCCCACTGGCTTGCCATTGTTTAAAAGATTTTTTTTTTTTTTTTATAAATTTCTTCCATTGTTGTTTATACAAAACAAAATTTCTTTCTAATGTAAGAAAAAAGAATTTTTTTATGCATTGAAACTATGATTTTAACTATTAATTGCAGTATTTAAAATAAAGAAAAGATTTGAGCATCTTTTGGGGTTCTTTGATGACTTTTTTTACTTTTTTTTCAATTTCTCATTGTCCAAATAGGTAACTAGTTTTTTTTCTTCTTTTCATTTTAAAATTTGGTTGTTGAAATTTGAGTGATTGTTGTGGCAACTATAGTGACTGTTAATTTCCCTATGCCTTTATTTGTTAGGGAACAAATGCTTGGAGGTGCCACAATGAATAGTTAAGAAAATAGGTCCTTCTTTTGGCCCTTGTTACAAGGGTTTAAAATAACCATACTATTTGTCCATGTAGTAGGCATGCTTGGTAAAAAAATTAGTGATTAATGAGCATGTGTTCTCACTTGAACTCATTTTTATCCATGAACCAAAACCAACT